GCAGTGCATAGGTCAGCACCTGGGATCCAAACCTGTGAACCCTGGGCCACCAAACTGGAGTGTGCGAACTTAACCACTACGCCACCATGCCGGCCCCTCCCTTAGGTTTTTGACTGCTCTAAAATGTGACAACAGAAAAGCATAAAGCAAAAGCATCTTCATGTGTTGGCTTAGTATTGTATGCATTGATATACCTGTGTCATTCCACTTCTCGCCACCCCCCCATGCTGAAGGTAGCCCAAGTACCTGAGATTTTATGGAACTTTGCTTTTTTGTAGTTTACAGGCAGTTTACACAAAGCCTAAGAGCGTGAACTGCAGAGCTTGTAGGTCTGGATCAGAATCCAGCTTCACTACCACTCACTATGTGACTTTGGGCAAGTCACTAAACTTCCTGAAACTTTAGTTTCCTCATAAACTTTAGTTTCCTCATCTGTAAAGAATATATTACTGAACCAATCTCAGATGGTGTTTGTAAGAATTAAATGATAGTGCATGTAATGAGTTCACTTGGTAAGTAAACATGGAGTACATTCTCAATATTAGCAGTTACAATTATTGATTCAAAAGCAGGCATTACATTGTTAAAAAAAATGATTCTATGATCTTTCAAACAATACATGCCCCCGCCTTAAGAATCAATGTTCAATACAGGTGCCTGTAACTGTTCCCTTCTTAGTGCACATGAGCTCCGTTCCTCAGTCATTTCACAATTTTTGTTGTCAGCGATAATTACAGTGCCACCAAATTATCAGTGTATCACAATTGGTATTGTAAATAACAGTTACCAATATTTGTGATTACTTATAGAAAATTAGGTCTACTGAACAATTAAGTTTAAAAATTGAAAGAACATGTGTTTAGCATACAATTAAGCATCTGACTCATTTTACAGTATAACTTTTTATGCTGTTACTTAAGAAAGTGGTGAAAATGTCTTAGATTGATTTCAATAGTTTGGGAAATATTAACATTCAGGGGCTGATAAAGTACATTTGAATGTCAGACTAGCACGTCTACTTGGCAATTTGAAAATGAGCATAAAATATGCCAAGTACCACATTTTTTTTTTACTTGGGGGGGGTACATAGAAACAAAAACCTATTACCAACCATAAATCCATCTGCTCATATCTTTACGTTTTGACTTACTATTGTGCGCTTTGACATGCCTGTGCCACCCCACCTCCTGCCCCCCAGGACGGGAAATCAATCTAAGACATTTCATATAACTAAGGGAAAGAGCAGGTCATTATTTAGAAGAAAAATGAAGTCTTTAAACAGGCTGAGCTTAAAATTCTAAAAATGAAGTCTTTAAACAGGCTGAGCTTAAAATTCTAAAATAGAGTATTTTCCTTCCTTCTGAGCATCTTGGACTGCCTGGAAATATCAAACATCTCCTTTATCAACAGTTATTGTATATTTTGTGGGATCTTTCCAAAGACTACAAATATTCTTGACTTCCAATGTGAAGAACTTTTTCTCTACAGAAAGAATGTTAGTTTAGGCTGATATCCCACGTCGTTTCAAGTTTTCTGGGGATATTGTCAGTTAACAAAGTCAGAAAGTAAATTGCATGTTTTTCTACCTTTGTAGATAAGACAATCTTTTTTCCCCCAAATTTGGCATGATTGTGATGGACAGATAAAAAGCAAAATACGATAACAACTAAAATCTGAAATTGGGTTACCTTCTAATTCTGTCTTGTATACGTAGCAGTTGCAAGTAGGTGGTAGAGAAGACACAGCAACGTCTGAGATGTATCAAAGTGGTAACTAAGAATCCTTAAATCTAACCAATTAGATCATCTAACTGAAGACAGGTTATATTTACAGAAGAGTTAATATGAAGCCTAGAAAAAGGAGACACAAAGTCATCAGTGTAGCTTTGGCATTGTCCAAAGGTGTGCCTGCCCTGCTTGGGAGACTCCAGGCTGTCATCACGATGGTTTGGTCTCCCAGCAGAGCAGTGAGCATCAGAGTAGCAGGGCTTGACGCTACTGGCCAGTACACTGACCAACTCCACCCATTTTGCTTCCAACTTGAACCAAACTTGATTTTACTGTTTCCATGAGAACTGGTCTGTAGGGAGAATACACTCATTAAATACACGTATCCCGGTCCTCTTCAAAGTCATATACTCACTGCAAATGAATAACCGAGGATCATAGTTTTACATCAAAATAAGAAAATTTCAGGGCCAGCCCCCTGGCTTAGCGGTTAAGTGCGCGAGTTCCGCTGCTGGTGGCCCGGGTTTGGATCCCGGGCGCGCACCGACGCACCGCTTGTCAGGCCACGCTGAGGCAGCATCCCACATACAGCCAACTAGAAGGATGTGCAACTATGACATACAACTATCTACTGAGGCTTTGGGGAGAAAAAAAAAAAGGAGGAGGATTGGCAATAGATGTTAGCTCAGAGCTGGTCTTCCTCAGCAAAAAGAGGAGGGTTAGCATGGATGTTAGCTCAGGGCTGATCTTCCCCACAAAAAAAAAAGATTTCAAAGTACTGTTCAAAATGTCACTCACTTGTGATGCATTAGTTTGATGGGAACGAAAGACATATATAATCAAAGATAGCCTACTGTAAATAAGATGTATTACTTTAGCTTATTTTATCCATTCAGGTCTTAGTGTACATGCTGAAACAGAAATGGAGATTCTAGACTAAAAAAGCCATTTTCAATTAGCTATTATACATCCAGTACCCAGAGAAAAATGTCACCTATCAACTTAGTTTGTCTCAAAACTTCCAAAAGAAGGGACGACACATATGGTTTAGAAGGGAAGATATATGGTAGTACAATGTCATCTGTCTTATTCTGCTTCCCCTCAAATCCTGCATGAAACTAAGTGGTTTAAAACTATTTTACGTTATTAGCCATACATCTATCAGATACTGGTCAGTTCTTGTTAATTGTAGCAGTTATTATTATATTCATAAAGTCTCAACACTGAATTAGCAAACACTGAATCATTGCCTCTTGGGAAAATACAGGGTTAGGTACCTGGGAGCCTGTCACATTTTCATCAGTCAATACATAACCACATTATATGTGTGTTTCTGTTCCAAGACACCTTATTTAATACAGTGTCAATTAACATTGAACTCACAGCCAACAGCTGTGTAACTTATGCCTGAATGCTTATCTAAAATATTTTCTCCAGAAGGCACATCATAGCCGCCTTCTGCTTAGGAACACCAGACAGCACTTGAGCAGTATGCTTGGGGGCCATTTAAACAGCAAAATCACCAACAGGGGCCAGCCTGGTAGCATAGTGGTTAAGTTTGCGGCAGCCCAGGGTTTGGCTCATCAAGCCATGCTGTCACGGCATCCCACATGCAAAATGGAGGAAGACTGGTAGAGATGTTAGCTCAGGGACAATCTTCTTCACCAAAAAAAAAAAAAAAAAGTCAATAATATGGCACTAAATAGACCTCGTAAAGCACACTTGTTTATGAGAGCTGAAACAAGAAGACAGACTTATTTGACCTCAGCTGGGAATATGTGTTTCAGGTGACTCAATTTTGTCAATGCTGGGTGCACATTTGCAAATGACTGTTAAAGCACATGAATAGATTTGGGGGGTTACAAATCTTAATGAGTAGGTGAATTTGCAAAAAAACAGAATCATCAATTAATGAGGATCGACCATGTTACTTTTTCCTAAATCAATTCCTGCAGATTACAAAGGTCTAGTTTAGTTTTTTGGCTCCTGGGTCATGCAAGTTTGCTACATCTAAGAAAATCAAGACATTTCAAGAACAAACAGAGATGACTTATCTTCATATCACACAAGAAATATCAAATTCCAACTACTCAACATATAAAGCAAGCTACTAGATGTGCAAACCTATCTGCAACTCTACAACTTAGAATGGTTTTTAAGTGTGGGAACTTCATAGACACAACTTTAAGGTGTCTCAAACTTAAGTTTGCTCCTCTTAAATCTCAAAGCTTGAACTATTTTGTATTCAAATATGTTCTGTACTTGCGTTTGAGAAATACAGTAAATGCTTCTCTCCTTCCTGAAGCATTGAGGAACAGCTTTCATGGTTTCAGAAATTGTTTTCATCTCAATGAACTGTCAGCCCCTTAGAGTGTAGGTCTATGGTCAAGTAAAACAAAAAAATCATTAGAATGCCTACTGCGTGCACTGATTTAAGCCATGGGATAGGAGGTAGGGGTTGAGGCAGCCAAGTGAAAAGCATTCCAGGTACAGAAGCATCATAGGGCTTCATCATGCAGGGAGAGCTGACACTGTCAGCCACAGTTTTATTAAGATTTATTTGCTCCCAAAGGCAAGAGAGCTGGTGTTGAGAGAATTCTAGCACGATGACGAGACAACCAGATGTACAACTTATAAAGCTAACTCTGGCAGTAGTACACGTAGAATGAAATAGAGATTAAAACTAGACCATTCTCAAAAGTGCATTCAAATTGCCAGGGATAATTGTTTTGTTCCGATGTGCTGGGCCCCAGCCTGATCTTCTAAATCCATTCTCTAGAAGTAGAACCCCTAAATTGTCATTTTTCACAAGTACTTTGGATAAGGTATTATACTGAGGTGAAGTCGCAATCATCAACTATCAAAGATCTTTCAAAAATAAGGCTTAAAACTAATCCTAACTTTTTGATATTTAATCAATGTAAAAATCATACCAAAGACTAGATATATTATCTACACCCTCCTCTCCAACAAATACAGAGTAGCTATTGTTACTGTTTTATACTTATCGCCCAGCCTGGAAACCTTAATATAGTCATAAGCTGGCATCATCTCAAAAAATGTTAAGATGGTTCAAGAATTCACGTGGAAATCTAAATTCATAAAACGCATTAAAGGAACTGTCTTGTGCCTCTTTTCCATAAAACCAAGCCACCTCTGAAACTTAATAAACAATAACTTTTTCATGAAAGAGGTTCTCATACCCATTCCAGCTTATCACCTATTTACACAAGCCAATTACAATGAGAAATAAAATAGCATAACATCACTGTGCACTGTTTAAGGAATTTTTATTAAAGCAAGAATTTTATAATCCAAATTACGTTTCCTTGCTCAGTTATCAATTCTGTTACTTGAAACAGAAGTGACATTCCAAGCTATTCCACAGTAAAGAATTACAAAATTAAAGAAAGGAATGCTTTAAATTTTTGTACTTTGCTGAAAATTCTTTTTCCCAGGGTCTATAAAACATTAATTTGTTTTTATATTTTACTATTTTTTTGTTGTTTTTAAATCAATAAGTAATCTAGGACTAGCATTATGTTTGCTAGACCTGGCATTTGCTCGGTACATAAGGTTCAAAGTTTCCTTTCCTTTTTTTATTTATTTTATATTTTGCAATGTTTTTTTTCCACAATATTTAAGTTTTTCGATGTTTAGATATTTTTCTTCGGTGAAGCATGAGTTTCTTTACGTGGTCCCTGATCAATCTGTAAATGTGGAAAAAAAAATTATAATCATCAAACTTGCTGAGATTAGAACTTAATGATTCCAACTACTAAAAAGAAAAGACCATTACATAACGTAATAGAGGTGCTAATTATTGCTCTAATGGCAATCATATTATAACATACAAATGTATCAAATTAACACATACACCTTAAATTTGTGCAATGTTATATATCAAATATTTCAATATAACCAAAACCAACAACAACAAAAAATTAGACTAATATTGGCACTTGTCAGTAGCAAATTAAAGCCCTTGGCCACAGCCTACAGCCTGTTTCTGTCAAGTTTCACTGGAACATGGCCACACCCATTTGTTTACATTATCATCTATGGCTGCTTTCACCCAACAATGGAGCAGAGTTAACTGCAACAGAGAGAGCATGGCCCACAAAGCCCAAAGTATTTCCTGTCTGGTCTTTCACAGAAAAGCCTTGTCGCTCCCTGGTCCTGGCTACCCAGCTATATTACCCCATTTCTTGGGAATAATGAGCTGCAACTGTCATTGCCACCACCCAGGAAAAGGCATACGCTTTGCAAGCCCCCCGAGAATAAGTACACATAGAGCCAAACCCTGTTACAGGCCATTTAATACAAACTACAAAATGTCTGAAAGTGCTCTGACTCAAAATATTCATTCAAGTCAATGCTAAGGTAACAGGGAAAATTTAATTCCTCTATATGTCTACTTTGAACAATTTGGATTAATGGTAAAATGAATTTTTGCTGTTTCAAAATATACTCAAACTATAATAAAAGATTAAGAAAACAGGCTTACAACAAAGCGAGAAGGCTCACTTTACACAGTTGGAACACCAGCGGCACTGTTAACTGCTTTCTGGGCGGCCTCTTTAGCTTGGTGGGCTTGTAGCACAGCTACAGCTTCATCAACCTGGAAAAGAGAACACACTGGCTCTGAAAAGCAATGACTAGAAGAATTTCAAATTGACAAAATAAAACTTCCAACAAAGGCAAACTCCTTTCCTCAGATGAAAGTGAAAAGAACTATTATCAAAAGAACATCCCAACTGTATCCATATCCTTTTGGGTTCCATTCCACCACTGTTCTAGAAGAATTATGAACCCTCTTGTACTTCTCTCTCCCCACCAAAAGTCCCCCAAAGTTGAGAAAAATCGGCAAATATCTCTTTTTTCCCTAAAGCAGGAGCACAGTTAAGAGCACGGACGCTGGAGTTAAACTGACTGCACTTGAAACCAAGCTCTGCCATTTACTAGCTGTGTGAACACTGGGCAAGTTATTCGGCCTTTCTATGCTTCACTTTCCCCATCTATAAAGTAAGGATAATATCAGCACAGGCCGTTATTAGGGTTTACAAACAATCTTTATAAAGCTCTTAGAAACGTGCGTGGCTTGTATAAAAGCACTTATAAATGTTCTATAAAATTAAGTTCCTACAAAGCCCTGGAATCGTAATATAAGAGGCTGCTAGATAAATGATAAATTACTTTAGAACGGAGAGACTCTGGAGACTCAAGCATATGAAGAAGTTCTGAATTATCAATCTCCAACAACATGCCAGTGATTTTACCAGCAAGAGTAGGGTGCATGGCTTGAATTAGAGGAAAGAGCCGTTCACCTAGAACAAAAACATTCGAAAACTCCTTCAATCAAAAAAACTTTTAAAAGGCATCTACTGTATTAAAACTGGGGTTTAAGAACCCTACTTTTGTATATAGCAAATATACGCTAACCCATAATCCACCATTTCAGTATATCTTTCATAGGAAGACTGCAATAAAACAGATTAAGACCCACCTCGAGGCAATTAATTCTTGGTGGTATCAGTTTGCCAAAAAGTGAAATTAAGCTATGTTACTATTAAGTTGTTAAATCTGTGCTCAGGCAAGGTCAAAGTTGTTTTCTCATTCAGTTCAAATACCCTCTTCCAAAAATGTTGTGGGGTCCTATTATCCTATACATCAAAAGCAACACATTTTCTTAATAGCTTTCCAGGCTTTTGATTAGTTAAGCAGAAAAAACATGCCATCATAATCATTTATGGCAATTCAGATCAATCCCACTGGTCTGGCTGTCATTTTTAGGTGCAAAAGACATCTAAGTGTCTTCCTATTTTCCAGTCTCTCTGTAACTGACTAGGTGGGGCAAAGGCACTTACCCAACATTTGCTTTTGCTCTTGAGGAGGGGCAGATGCCAACATGGAAGCAGTCAAAGGCTCCTGACCTTGTACATGAACAGCAGGCTAGATATAAAATAGGAAAATTCCTAAGTTTAAAGTACAGAAGTAATGGCAAGTTCAAATACAGTCATCACTGGAAAATCATTGAAGTGATAAAGACTGCAACCTAAAGACAAACAGGGAAGCTGAGTGAATTAGAACTACAGCCTAAGGGAGCTATTAACATCTGCATGCTCAAGTACTACGACCACATGGGATATTTCATTTTCTTTTTTACCCGGACTATTCTTTGGACCCATATTTCTATTATGATTGACGATAGTTTTGGTCTCAGGGTCAAGAAAAAGGGTAAGCCAAATCTCACAAACTAAACTTTACTTCACTCTCTCTTCCTTATAACTAGGCCAAACAAAACTCTTAAACCACACAAGTTAATTCAAAATGGGGACTGTAAAATGCTTGTCTAATTTCTACAGTATAACGCAAAACAATTTTACCTATTATTAATGGGACATCAATTAACAAATGTTCTAGATAGCCTAAGCTCTCATATCCTATAGTTGTCTTCAACTTCTTGGATTGCCATCAAGGACTGTCACCTTTATTCGGAAATCGTTAAACCCATACCTGCTGCATGGTAACTTGCGGCTGCGCATTAAGATGTTGCTGAGGATTGCGAACTCCCGCAGCATACTTATACTGGGGAACGGTGCGGACAGCAGGAGTAGCTGCAGCAGCAGCAGCTGCAGGACGTGGACCCATTGTCTGTGTTGATGTGTTAGCTAGAAAAAAACCCAACGAACATATTTTTGTACTTTTACTTTGCTATTTCAAATTGGAGATCAATTTTTACAGGAAGGGTTAAGACTCACCAACACGCTGTGTCGACATGACTCGTGGAACCTGTGAAGAAGCTGGTCTCATAGTACTAAATGGTGGCCTAGGAGCGGCTGGGCGGATAGCACCGGGCATATTTTGGAATGCTACATTTAAAGATAAGAACACACATTAACTGGGAAAAACTCACTCAAAGTGTTCATGCTGCTTTAGAACTAAGGGTGCACAAAGGCTAAAAGTGACCAATTTTAAATACCATTTTTTAAAGCTTAGTCTCACACCTGCCATTTCCCCAGACTTATCAGATTATGAGTAAATAAAAACATTTATTCTAACAAGGACAAGTACTTATTAATATCTGGACATGACCTATGAACCTGGTTCCAAATGCTCCTGCAATATAGCACTGTTCCACAGGGCAAGGCTGAAAATGCCAGGACCCCGATCCTCAGACATGGAACAAGAGCTTTTAAAACTACTGCCTAACCAAGATGAAATTAATAGTTAGATCCATTCCCAAACTGTCAAAAAGGAAAATCAAACAAGCACACAAATTACTGTCTCAAGACAAGAACAGTGAAGCATTTTACGATTCTTTTTTTTAGTAAGTGCCAGCATCCCAAAAACAAATACCCATAACCATAAATTATGAAATGCAACAGTCAACACACAGATGACATATAACAGCTAATTTGCCTCACATGTATTTTTAGTCCAAATAATTTGCAACCTTAATTAAAAGAAAAACAAAAGGCTTACGATGAGGTCTGGCACCCTGAGCAGTCCAGCGAGGACTTGGTCTTAGTTGAGCAATTTGGCTAGGAGGATAGTATGCAGCACGGTTCTGAGTCTGGAGAAAGTAAACAAATGTATCAGCTAAAGAAAAAGCAAATAATCAACTAGTTACACACTCTCAAAACATTTAGCAAACCACACACTCTAATCATGTTTTCCAATGCAATCATAATTCACAGGTCTCAATGTTTTCATCTTAAGGCTTTATTATGTTTTTTTTGGGCACAAAACACTAAAAATGACCAACTGTGAAAACTTGCATGAGATTTTTGTTCTCTTCTAAAACCTACCTGTGGGATAGCTGCCATGAAGTAACCTGAAGGAGGTGCTGGCTGGTAGGGGTTGATTACGGGGTTGGGCACAGCTCTTACGCTAGCCATTCTCTGCATATACTGGTTAGTGAGGTGAGCCTGGCGCTCTTCTTTGCGCTGAGCTAAAGCTACATACAATGGCTTGGTGGCCACAATTCTACCGTTCATTTCTGTAACTGCTTTAGTGGCTTCTTCGGGGGAGGAGAAACATACAAAACCAAACCCTTTGCTGCGACCACCCTCCATCATAACCTATTAAAAGAAAAAGAAAAAATTAAACAAGGTTAATGGAATGGTAGAATGAGGCACAAAAAAGGAGAACATTACTATTTAGTCAATTATAGCCATTGACTTAAATAACTAAACCCTGTTAATGCTTTCATCCTTTTTTTCACAATTTTCCTTAATACCCAAATATTAAGGGCAAGCTACACACATGCAATAAATATCCTAGCCAAGCAAAGAGGAAGTAAAAGGGTGGAGGTACAACAGCACCTTAGATAAGATTTTAGATATTCAATTAGATATTAGACTTTCAACAGTGAAGTTTAAATACCTAAACATATTCAAGGCCTACTAAATTTGACTCTTTAGCCACTGAAAACATCCACAATTACAATTTGACTATTTTAGCAAGTCAAGCTGACAAGATGCTTTAATACTGTTTGGGAGGGCGGGAAGCAGTTGAATCTTATCCATATTTTAAAATAAAAATTTCACATTCAAGACCAGAATGGCCATAAATGAGGGGGTATAAACAATATTCAAAAGGAAGCTGCCAGTGACTGCAAAGATCTTTTAGACGAGCAACGAAGAGATGCAAAGACCTCCTCACTAGCCCTGCAATACCCACAAGCATGCTAAATACACAGCTACATTCAACAGTATGCTGGTGGCCCTGGAACAAACAAAACAGAGGCCAACGATTTCACTTTTATGTGGAATCCAAAAAAACAACCCCCAAACAAATAAAACAAAAAAACCTGAGCTATGGATACAGGGAACAGATTGGTGGTTGCCAGAGGCAGAAGGGGTTAGGGTGGGGGAAATGGGTTAAGGGGGTTAAAAAGTATAAACTCCAAAGCTACAAAATAAATAAATAAGTCATGAGAATGTAACATACAGCACAGTTAATAACACTGTATTGTATATCTGAAAATTACTAAGAGAGTAGATCTTAAGTTTTCATCACAAGAAAAAAAATTTTTGTGATGGATGTTAACTAGACTTATTGTAGTGATCCTTTTGCAATAGTCATATGTCGCTTAACAATGGGGATATGTTCTGAGAAATGCGTCAGGCATTTTCGTCATTGTGTGAACATCACAGAGTGTACTTACACAAACCTAGATGGTGTGGCCTACTACACACCTAGGCTATATAGTACTAATCTTATGGGACCACCATTGTATGTGTGGTCCACTGTTGACTGAAATGTCGTTATGAGGTGCATGATTGTATATACAAATATTGAATCATTATGTTGTACACCTGAAACTAATATAATGTTATGTCAATTATATCTAAACAAATAATTTAAAAAAAGAGAGTCTAGTAACATAAACGTGAAATTACAGGAATTTAGTATGTTAAAGTTAATATTTTAACATAGTGGGGAAAAGGTGGACTTTGGACTACTCAGTACATGGTACATTGGGACAACTGAAAAGAATTAAATTAAATCTTATTCACATCACATTGAAAAATCAACGGCCAGATAGATTCTGAACATAAAATCCAAAAATACAGTGAAAATCCAAGACGACACAAGGCCGCAAAGACCTAGGTGAAAGACTGGGAGAAATATTTGCAATATAAACCAAAGGGCTGACATAAAACTCTTCCTAAATCAATAAGAAGACACCAGTGCAAGATAAAAATATGCAAAGAATAGGAAAACTCCGAAACACATGAAAAGCATGTCATCATTTGAAAAGATGTACACTACTTTTTATAAAACTGACAAGTAGGAATTTGTTTAGCCTTTTTGGACAATTCAGTTGTATCAATTTTAAATACCCATAACCACTGACCAGCAATTTCAATTCTAGAACTTTAGAAATACTGGCATGTGTGCAGAGATATACGTGTATAAGAATGTTTATTAGCGTAGTGGGTCTAACAGGGGAAACATGCAAAGCAACCCAAATGTTCATCAATACAGGTACAGTAAAATTAAGTTACGGTACATCTATACCATGGATACTCAGCCCTTAGCAAAAAAATGAGAAAATGCTTGAAATAAATATGTATCTAGACCTACGGTTAAGAAGGCAAACTGCAGAATATGTATGGTATGATCTTGTTTTCTAAAAACTGTTTATACATATACAAAAAATGTTTGGACAAGCAAAGAAAATTATCTGAGAAGGCCACTCAAACTCCTTTTGGAGACTGAAAATGGGGAATGGTGTGGGTGTGTGTGTGACCTTTCACTTTTCACCCTTCTGCCTTGATGAATTTGTTGTTTCGGCAAGCACTGTTAAATTAACGTAATGACCTCCTCCTCCAGAATAAATTCTTGCCAAACATCTCACCTCCTCGCCAACAGTGATACTATGATCCACAAAGGACAAAGTAGTTTAAATACTCTTTCCTTTGTAAAACATGCATGCTTCACACATTCCAAAAAAACCTGATGTACAATATTCAATGTAAACAACTTTCAGGGAACATAGTAAGGAGACAGACACTCAGGAATAAATCCTATCATACTACAGATACTCTCAAAAAAGCACAGGCTGAAACACAGGGCAATCCCATCACGTGCATTGTTATTTGTATTCATCTACTCTGCCCCTAACATTTCCTCACTATCATAGACGCCTCCTCGCTCAACGGGGTGGGCAGGAAAAGCTGAGTAGAAAGATCACTCACGAGGTCAGTCCAGAGTACCGAGTTTTAATTTCTCCTGTATTCTTTTGAGAATCTGACTGAAGTTTTAGACACTCCTCCCACCCCCCAAAATACACACACACAAAACTTTAAATACAGAGGGAGCCTTGGACCATGGACACCAGAAAAAATACCTAGAGCAAAGGTTCTTCAATCAAAATTTCAGAATTGAGATTAGAGTCCTACTGGTGTATTTCTTAATTTCTGACTTCAAGTAAAAGGAAATATGATCTCTATCTTTACTGCCAGAGAGCTTGAAGTTTGACTCCCCAGAATGAACTGTGTAAGTGAATCTAGATTAGCCCAATAGTAACAACTTTAGTTCCCCAATAAATTGTCTTTTTTAATCAGCAAAATAACTAGTTTAACAGAGCACAGAACAGTGCATATCAAGTGAGGATCAATCACTAACTGTGGTCATCAAATGTAGCACTCCTCAGGAAAGAATTCTGAACTTGCCATCTGCAAAAATAATCCATCAGGCTGCAACATCCACTTCAAATTTGAATGTAAGTTTTTGAAGTAACAAAGCAAAAACTCGATTTCTAAATAACAGAAGATTGATTTTTAGGGGGAAGAAAAAACAACTTGGACTATTTGTCTACAAATAAGAAAAACACTCTAGTAGGTATATTAATGTGAAATTTATATAAACATATCTATGGGCAAGAATTTTTTTCCCCAAATCTTAGGGAAAAAAAAATGCATCATATGCTTTACCTTTGCACTAGTGATTGTACCAAATGGAGAAAACTCTTTCCGGAGACGTTCATCATCAATACCATCATCCAGATTTTTCACATAAAGGTTAACACCCTAAAAAAAGGAAAAGAAAACTGTAGGAAAAGGAGTAAGAAAACCACAGTGGGACTTAAGCACACTTCCTATTATGTTATCCCATGTGTCTTCTCCTTTCCCCCTCTCAAACCCTCCCGTTACCTGACAGTAACTGATAACATCATAAAATAGGTTTCCTCAACGCTGTCTTATTTTGCTTGTTCAATTAAAAATGAACCTGGTATCTGGTGATCCTATCTTGCTTCATCTGTTCAAATTTGCGCTTAAGTTCCGTCTGCCGTTCCACTTTTTTCTGAGCTCGACCAACATAAATTTGTTTTCCATTGAGCTCCTTTCCATTCATCTCATCCACAGCCTTATAGAAATCAAAAAAATTTTAATTACCAACTTGCAAATATAGAAGTTTACTTCTTTAACAATAAGGAAAATTTGTTACATTATGAAAGCCAAAGATGGACCCATCACAAAAACTAAGCTTTGAGGTTTTGGGAAAATATAGGTTCCCAATTTATACTCTCAAATATATAAAATACAGATAATTCAAAATAATAGATGTAAAGATGAACACGTAAAATAGCCATTAGTATGCGTGTAAATATGAATGCAAGAATAACCCAACTTTATACCCCTCCCCTTCCTACTATAAAATACAGAAAATCCACATTGCCTTTTATTAGTATATTTAAGTCTTACTTTCTGTGCATCTTCATGCCTTTCGAAGCTTACAAATCCAAAACCTTTGGATTTCCCACTTTCATCAGTCATTACTTTCACACTTAAGGCAGGTCCTAAAAAAAATTTTTTTAATGATTCAAAGATATGCCATACAACATTTAGTTTATACATTTCAAATTTCAACACATAAAGAACAAAGCCATGAAAAAAATTAAAATGGAGATTAAAAAAAATTCCCAAGCCTCCAGAAATTTATTCCTCCTCTAACCACCCCCACCTCCCTGGAGGCAACTAAATATCCTCTTCAAAGACCTTTTATTTCTACTAAGAAGCTAAGTAAATATTCTACTCCTTGAAACATTCCTCCTTCCATTTAAGGAGTCGTTTTAGACGACTGAAAAGGATGAAGTTTTATTCTTAGCATTAGTACAAAGCAGATTTGCATTTTTTTAGCCAACAATTTTATTTTCTTGACACCAGAATTAAGAAAAAAGAATTTCTTAAGCCTTGGTCGTCCACTTGATTTTCGACAGGAAGTGGAAGAAATATAGAGTTTGACCTTTGGGAAGACAGTAGAATCACCTAGAGGAGGTGGCATGTCTGAAGACACAAGTCACCCCCACCCTCTCAAGTGAAAAAGACACTTAACTGAGGTGGGTGTATCTCAGATAGCTGGGACAAGAAAAGGTTAAAAATCACATTTGATTACAGAGAATTTGGAATACGTATGGGCACAGATAGATTGTTTCTTTTGAAGCGCCCCTGTCCTAAGACTGTACACTTCCAATCTCCGCTATGCAAAGCAGCCAAGAAAATATCTGACAAATTTACTTATCGGTGGTCAACTCACATAGCATTATTCATTTGGGGCAAGTGGTTAACAATATACAACTTTAGAAATAGCTTCTAATTAACAAAAAAGCCAGACAGACAAAACAGAGAAAAGCCAGTCACTAAAGAGAATTTGGAGTAAGATGTGAGACATATCACATCTTTTCCTCATCTTACACAACTGATCTTCGCACAATGACGAATTTTTTGCTCAAAGGAGTAGAAGGTTCAATGTGGCATGCTAGCCTGGCAATAGAAAAGTATTAGATTTCCTAATTCTTTACCATTTGAAATGCTCAGGGAGAAAAAAAAGCCATCTATTTAAGTTCACCAAAAGGAAAGCAAAGGGTAAGGGGCAAGCAAAGTACCTGCAAAGTGTACAATTTAAAGTTCATCTTCTGATCAGTTACACAAGTATCCAAAGGGAGGCTGGTTACTTCATTAATTTGAAGTTTAATGAAGTTAATTTGAAATGCAAGAAAATAGCAGTTTAAGATCCCATGGATCCAGAAGGCCATCCCAAGGAAAGATCGATCACTGGAAAATCTGGATCTTTGGCCTTATCTTTGAAAAGGCATTGCTTTAAATTGCTCAAACATGATGCTACTGAGACTGGCCAAATATCCTACAGCTGACCAGCTTTCCTGTCCCATAATTAAAGACTGCACTCTGACCTAAGTTGGCTGTGTCACATGCATGCCGCTGATGAGATGGGATCTTTAAGTGCTAAAATCCAGCACAATTTCTTATCATAGCAAAACCTTTTAAAATCTGTTCCAACTATGCAGATAGAGTCACACCTTACTGTGCTAATACAATGCTATTAACCTTTTAACTGGCTAGAATTCTATTTATATGTTCCTTTGTAGTATAATAGACTATCAGTAGTTTAATCTAATAACTACAAATATTTTTAAGTACTACGTTAAGTCATTTCATTTACTTTTCCAGTGTCAAGTATTAGCCAAAACTAATGTTGAGCAATTACTCAAAACTTTATAAAAATATAATTCAGACACATTACCAAACTTGCCAAAGAGATCCTTAAGGCGCTCGTCATCCATGTCTTCTCCAAAATTCTTGATGTAAACATTGGTGAACTCTTTTGCCCTAGCTCCAAGTTCTGCTTCTCGCTCTTTACGAGACTTAAATCGTCCAACGAATCTAATAAAATAGGTAAGGACCATAAAATTAGGTTCTATTTTATGAAGTTCAGATTAAGCAAGCCTGACCATTGATTTTGTAATTGTTACTGATAATTTCAGAAACTAATGAAGAGCACACTACAAAACAGAAATAGAGCCTTAACTGAAGAAATGAAAGTATAAGATATAAGAACAAAACTCTTAACCACAAGCACAAAAAAGGAACATCTTTTCCTTTTTTTTTTGCTTGAGGAAGATTCACCCTGAGCCCACATCTGTGCCAATCTTCCTCTATTTCGTATTTCGTATGTGGGTCACCACCACAGAACAGCGGCCGACAAGTGGTGTAGGTCTGTGCCTGTGCCCAGGAACGGAACCTGGGCCACCAAAGTGGAGCGTGCTGAAATTCACCACTAGGCCACATGGCCGGCCCCAGGAACGTCTTTCTTAATACACACTTCTCTCCCTTCCCTCTAGCTAACCTAGGGTTAAAGAGATCATGCCTATCAGTACAAATGAGTGGGAATATATATGCACCATGCCAATGAAAAGACAGAAAAGTTTTCATCGTTGCTGTTTCAAAGTGGTCCTTGCACTTTGTTTGCAATCTCCTAAAACAGGAAATTAAACTTTCAAATTCTGTACTCTAACACCCAACAGCCCGGCATAATATTCTCTTTCCCACATTATCAACATGATATATTCCAAAAATTTAGTTTTTCCCTAACATAAAGGTAGTACACGTGTCATTAAAGAATATCATAATATACATCAAAGTTAAAACACCATCTCCCATAATCCCACCCAAATCATGATTGACTTTTAGTATGTCTTTTTGTTTTCTATGTTTAGGAACATTAACGAAGATACCTGTGATTTTATTTCCTTAAACCCCCAGCTACCCATATGGTGGTGCTTTTCCACTCTATTAGTTTTATAAACGTTCTCAATGGACGCATAATATTCCACGGTAGACATCACAACTTTCTGCTTTTGTAAATAATGCTGGAACTCTATAAGACCTTGTTATTTGTTCTTAGGAGTTGCAAAAATCATGGTAGTTCAAAGGGTATATAAATGATCTTAAGTTTATACATACAGTCAAACTGTTTTCCAAAAGCATTATATCACCTTATACTCAAAACAGCAATAAATCAAGTCTTTATTTAGACCCCAACCAGTGGTGGGCCTTCTTTTTTTCCCTCCCTAAAGCACTGTTGACAAGCAAACTATAAGATACTTTCATCTGCAAATACTAATGATGCTGAATATTTCTCTCAATTTAAGATGTACTATTTCTGAAAATTAGCCTTTGAAAATATTGTTCATATTGAGGAGTTGCAGGTTTTCTTAGACTTATATGGATTCTTTACATATTACAAAGGCATTCCTTAATCATGCAATTGACATAGAAATCAAACAGGTAACACCATGTGCATGACTCCATATACAGACTGACCACATCACTTGATGCAGTGATTATGAAAAGCACACCTTAAGAGTGATGCAGTTGACGTCTAAGAATAACCAAACCCAATGTGCATGCTATCACTGCAATTTACACAAGCAACATGAACTCACAAATCATTTACAATATACAAATTACAGCAGAATTTGCCCAGATAACTAAGCAAAATCCACTGGCACTGAGGATAAAAAAATTTAAGATTTGTCATTTCTTTGGGCTCATATCTGTATTTTTACAACCCGAAGCAGAAATAGTCTTATAGAGGTTTTCTCAGTGTTATATTTTAAAAGTTTGCAACTTTTAAGAACAAGTTTATTTCAGGAAAAATGAATCATGAAAACTCCTGGTTTAATTCCACTTTATCTTTAAATGGGTGAAGGGAGTCATTAAGAAAAAAAAACACAAAAACCCTTAAACTCCATCAATAAATTGCAGCAGTATGGCCAAGGTACTGTGGGCACTGGGTTTGTATCCTAGCTCATCTGTCATACCGGCATGTAAATATAGGCAAATTAGCCTCAGCTTCCTCAAATGTAAAATGGGCTAATTACTGTCTCAGGAACTATGATTAAGTTTGTCTGGATTCCTAGTTTTCCAACTATGTACTTATTTTGAAAAAACTTTGTATTCCAGTATACCTATCTTCCATCTTTTTTTTTCTGGTTTGAATGTTAACCAATTATATTAATTCACTGTTCTTTGTATGTTACGTTAAACGTACAGAAAAGTCAATTATAAACTCTACCAAGACATGGTTTATTAATTTTGACTCTTGGCGTACCTCTTTAAGAGGACAAATATATTAACTTGTAAAATGAATGAACTGATTTGAACTATTAAAAACAGATTTGAAGTACGATTAATCAAGTATTTACACTTACACTTTGCGATCATTTAGAAGCATCCCGTTCATTTTTTCGATAGCTCTTTCAGCTGCTTCCTGTGTCTCAAAATGTACAAATCCATAGCCTTTGGAACCATTTTCATCACAAACCACCTAAGGAAAAATGTAGGGCAATTTTTCATTACTTGCTATTGATTTAGCATTTTTCCAGTGTTCAGAGATAACATGTCAGCCACCTAACCTGTGTAATTTATCCATTAACAGACAGCATGGTTGTTATTTTAAGGAATAAACTATAAGTAGCTAAAACACTATAAATGTTTACCTGTCAAACTTTTGCTTACCTTACATGAAAGGATGTTACCAAAAGCAGAAAATGTATCATACAGTGCTTTATTATCGATGGATTTGTCCAAATTTTTAATGAATATGTTGCCCACTCCACTTTTGCGAAGTGATGGATCACGCTGAGACCACATGATGCGTACTGGCTTGCCCTTTATAACGTCAAAATTCATGGTGTCCAAAGCACGCTCCGCTGCAGGAAGGTCATTTTCAGAGAGAATATTACTTCAGAACTTTTATAGCCCACTTAAAACTATACACATTATCACAGGGGGAGGGGCTGGGCAGACTGTTCCTCCACCTCTTTAAACTTTGAGATGGCTGGACCTTCCCATGCACTAGCCTAGATTTAAATTGTGTAATACCAAAAGAGAAGACAAATACCAGAAACCCCAAATTTCCCATGTTAACAGATGACATATTGCTAATAACTCATTTCTGAAACAATCTCTTCCTTTAATTGACATTAAATTCAAAAGCACCTTTTTGTTCCTAGTCAACACAAAACCAAGATTCCCTTTCACATACAATCTGCTTAATGTGCAATATAAAAGATATTAGGCAATTGTAGATTATCCACAGGCTGAGAGTAGTTTATGGATTTTCAGCATTTTAACTTGCTTATGACTTGCCAAAACTGGTCATTTCATTACTTATCACTGCCAATGTTATACAAAAATTAGTCCATTTTCTTAAAAACAAAGAAAAGTTCCTGAATTATTGAGAGGATTTCAGTGATTCATGGCACAACTTCCTATTGCCGTGTAAGAAAAACGAAAGGCTATATCCATTTAGATTAAGATTTGAATCAGGCCTTCAAAAACCAATGTGGAATTGGACATACTGAGCTGTATAATAAATACAGAATTTTTGAAGTACCAGGTCTACAATATTTATAATTCACTATTAATGCTTTTTGGACATAAGACCAACTTTATCTTAGATCACTGACTTAATAACTGATGATTTATTCAATTATTTCTAGATAGTGTTAGAAAATGTCAGAATCTACCTTATGATTTCAGGGCCTATGAAGGTCTGAATTATGCACACATGTACCATTAAGTAAACGCTGTAAAAAAATTGAGACTCTATATGGAAAAATATATCCTCAAGTAAAAAAGACCAGTCCCTAAAGAAGGGAAAAAAAACAACACAGTCCATTTGAGGTCATGAAACACCAGTTTTCACAAATTCCATGCCAACACAACACTCAAGCTATTGAGAGGACAAATTTTCTGGCAATTTGCTTTTATAAATGAAAGTCTCAGTTTCTAGAAGATAGTGACAATCAGCTGTCAGCTCTTTATCAATTGACCACCCTACTCAGCATCCCCCCAGCTTTTTAGCTGACTTTGCCTGAGTTTCTTTTGAATGAATCACCTCTTCCTGTTAAATTGGAAACTGGTCACTTTCAGAAACTATTCTACAAATCCATCCCTGTAGCAATAAATAGGGGGAAAAAAAAGAGAAACTAAACCATTGAAAAAACTATTTGGAAAGACAGTAACTTCCACATATAGAAACCAAATAAATGGAAGGTGGAAAAATGCTATCTCCTTGACACAGTTACAGTACTGGCCTGCTAGTACAGACTGATAATACAGCGTACCGTACCCATGGTAACCTGAAGTTCAACTTTTGAAATACCAAGAAATTAAAAAAATTGTTTTTTGGTAACTGAAATTGTTAAGCTTAAAAAGAATGACAGCCATTTTCAAAAGTTATCATTTTGTGGTCTCTAGAATTTGTTCAAATTTTCTGTCAACTCGTTAGATTGTGATTACCTGCCCCAAAAGTTATCTTCCTTAATCTTACTTTATCTTCCATTCAGTGATAAATCTTGCCCAGAGTTGGGAAGAACTGTTACCCAGTGACATTTGGATGTACTGCTTACAGAGCAAAAGGGCAGGAAACCTGCACTGCAGTTTTACAACTTCTGGCTCCGTGTCACTCAACAGTCTGCCTACCCAAAAATCTCAACATGAACTTTACCTAGTGAACAGCTGATCATTAAGTAACTTAAGTTCTACTGAACCAATGTAATGAAATAAAAGTTTGAATTCCACCCTCAAGGCCTTTTCTACAAAAATAAAAATGAATTCCTTATATTTTTTAATACTTGACATGTTTTCAAGCAGCCTGAGAAAAGGGAAAAAAGTGGGCCATAAACTCAAGTGAAGCTGACTTTCGGAAGTCTGATCCAGATATAAAGAAAAATTCTGACAACTCATCAGGCGACCTATGTCATGGGCGCCAAATTCTGTTTTTGTGAACGGTTTAACTTCAAAATAAAAATACAAGGTTAGCTGCATTTTTTCCCCATATATTTTAAGCTAACCCCGATCTCTGCTATTTTGTACGCAATCATTCCCCATGATTTATGGATATTCTGGACCACTTTAAAAATAAAGAAACCTGAAAGATTTGAATGCCACATTAAGTCTAAAGGTCCAGGTCCACACTACATTCACAAGTAACATTTTACAGCCCAAACTGGTGAATCCATTTTTAAGTAAAACCCCTCAAAACCATAGAAACTATTTCAGAAGGGAAAAGATAATATTCCGAACAAATTACCAGTACTAGGAAACTAATATGAAAAAATTTCAACGATCTAAATAAATTGCCTGAGAAAACGATAGCCTTCAAAGCGGTCATCTTCCACATCCCCTCCTCCCACCCTGCTGTTAATGTTGAGTGAGAAATGCCTGACTAGGGGAAAACCCCAAAAACGTGTCATAGGTAATTTACATATCTAGAGCCATCAATCTCTGACAAGTTATTAAGAATGGAATCCGAAACCTAAAGACCACCACATCACCACCTTAACTTTATTCTAAGGCCCTGTGGCTCCCCCAGGCGATTGGGCCAGTAGCAGGAACAGGCCTCGGGCCTGTGAGGTTACAGGGTTCAACACGTGGTATTTTTCGAGCACCGAATCGCACTTCCTCCCGGTCCTGGGGCGCCGGCGAGAGCCCGGGGTGGTGACTGCGCCTCCACCTATGACCAGGGACCGGGGCTCCGCGCTCGACGCACCGGCATCCCGTGGCTACTGGCGGGAGCGCCCTGGAAGAACCCAATCTCACCCACCCTCCCGGCGCGTCATCACACTAAAGTTTGAGCGCGGCTGAGGCCGAGAAAATGGTCGCAGAAGAGGAAGTGGCCGGGCATGGGAGGGGCGTGCGGCTGCCGGCTGCGTGGGTCCGCACGGGAGCGGGGTCCGGGCGCCCGATCCTCTCGCCGCCGCCCCGGGGGTGACA